TTTACAAAAGTATTTTGATAATTATTATTTAACGGGAATCGTTAAACCTTAAAAACGTATTTACGATTGATAATTCTTTTATAACATTGTACAATCAAACCTATTCAATTCCAGTGTACAAGAGATTATTGATCTTAAAAAATTAACTTTAACATATTGTTTGTGGGGTGAAGAACCCACTTAAAAAAATAAAGTTTGGAGACAGATTAAATGGGTAATGAATGAAACTTTATTACAAGTGACAAATGTACAACGTTTCTAAAAGCTGGACTTGCAACGCTAGAAACCGGTTTTCGATACCCGTGGTGGGCAGAGCACAGATAGCCCATTGCATAGCTCTGTGCTTAACTTCAAACAAACAAACAACAAATTCTAAAAGCTTTGGTGATGAATTCAACGTCTCGACAAGCTTATGTGATGAATTCAAATTTGACAACGAGGATATTTTCTATATCCTTGATGAATCTGGAAACTAATTAAAAATTCCTTAAAACATATAGTGTTATTGTTGTGTAGGTAACGAAAGCAAACACTATATACAGAGAGCACGTGACTTTCTGTAGGTGTTTAGTAATGAAGAATTGAATTTAGAGACAATGAACACTTTTAGGAATTGGTTATCATTCGTAATTGTTTTGGTTGTTCATTGACAGACAATCAATAACCTCATTCTAAGAAAACATTAATCTCGAGATGACAATTCAAAGTATAAATTTTAGGCTTTCTGACGTTTGTTCTTGGACTATCTTGACGTGCGAACTGTTTTTGAACAGACTAGGTGACATGAGAAAAATATAGGTCTAAAGAACCAGTATAATGTGGAAATGAGGTCACAAGCAACTGTCGATTTACGAGTAGGAGTTCCGGTATCCAAGTTTCCTTGTGAGAAGAATATACCCATATCTCATCTGGCCCGCACGATCAATCTGCACTACACGTGACAAATACTACAACATCACAGTGTAAGAGTTTGCACATGCTATGGCATTTCAGCTTAGCCATAGTTGACCAAATTCAAATTTGAAAATGTTAAAATTTTACTATTTTTTAATCATAAGACAAAATGGTGTAGTTTGAAGTTGGTGATCATCTTATACAACATACAGTTCATATCATAAGACATCTGACGTGAGTTTACCATAACCTTATAAAACATAGTTTATCATAAAACAGTCTAAATCTGTCAGAGATTGGCTATCATCTTATACAAGATGTACTTCCGCAGGTTCCCCGAAAGTGCTCTGTTTCAAGAGTAAATAAAACCAAAATTAAGAGTAACAAATATTTATATTTCTTGTTTTTGAAGTTCATATGTCATGCTGTGTTATAGCCTACAGAGTGCATAATTCTCTTCGTGATTCCTGGCACACGTACGTTTTACTGACGATAGTACAAATTGCAATGTTAAGTGTCTCTTATGTGACGTCATTTTCGTGTCTACTTACTAGCTGACAGACAGCACACTGCTGTATAGTGGTGTGAGTGGTTAATACAGGTGACGGAAAACAAGCTATATAATAGTTGCACATGTGCTATAATATTACTCTATAGTTGTAACTTTCTTTTTTAAGTGTCATTATTACTTCTGAATTTTCTAGAATATTGACCTTCGGTGGGACAGCGGTAAGTTTACAGATTTACAACGCTAAAATTCGGGGTTCAATTCCCAGAGGTGGATACAGCGGGCAGCCCAATTTGACTTTACAAACAAAAAATCTACAATATTATTACGTTTACTTTTCAAAAGGATTTAACTTTATTTATTACTTCCTCTTGTTCACTCCATGAGTTTAGTAAAACCACAGAGGTTAGTTAAAGTCGGAGGAGTTGTGTTAGTTAACTGGTTAAAATAGATGACCTCTCCTGGCGACCTTCGGCCCCCTTTTGGGGAAAATGGTCTAAATCTGGCGTTAGTTTGACTAATATATAAAAGTTTATTTTAAAACAGCCTAAATCTGGTGTGGGTTGGAGGATATAAAATATACTGGGTTTGATTGATTGTTATTTTATAAAATAGAAATATATATCATTACGCAATGCTGTCTTGCTATAGTTCATAACTTTATAATATGTCTCCAATTATTTTATTTTACAAATCATTTATATTGTTGTTTCAAACTAGAATCATCCTTTAACTAGAAATAAAAAAAAATGAGAAAGCTATGATTGTGAAAAAAGTGACTAACAGATGCAAGTCACGCGGAAATTATTTAATAAGTAGTTTGTTTTGTTTTGAATTTCGCGCAAAGCTACACGAGGGCTATCTGCGCTAGCCGTCCCTAATTAGCAGAGTAAGGCTAGAGGGAAGGCAGATAGTCATCACCACCCACCGCCAACTCTTGGGCTACTCTTTTACCAACGAATAGTGGGATTGACCGTCACATTATAATGCCCCCACGGCTGAAAGTCATGTTTGGTAGAACGGGGATTCAAACCCGCGACCCTCAGATTGCGAGTCGAGCACCCTAACCACCTGGCTCTTAATAAATAGAAACAACTGTAGAAGTTAAGTTTTATAAAAGAAAACAAAATAATTTATATACGGTGATAACCAAGAGTGAAAATCAAAGTCCCTTCTGTTTAACACTTTTTTATACATTTTATACCCTAAATTACGATGTTGGAACTGTTTCTGAGCTCATCATGCACGAAAACTAGTTCACCTGTTCCGTTTATACTGGGTCAGCCGGCCAAGGCAACTCGTTCTTACACTTCATGTAAATTGTAAAGCTAGCTAGTTGATACTAGAAAAGAAATAACTCGATTAATATGTGATTTTAGACTAATTTCGTAAGATTAATTCTATATTAACAAACTCCAGGACATTTCTCCACGAACAGTATTTTATTTCTGCTTTTGGCTCCTCTGCTGGGGATTCCAACAGGCAAGGTGTTAGTCACAGAGTTTCTTAATATAGATTAATATCTTCAAAACCACTTTTTCAGTTTTAAAGTGCATCCGGAAAATATCTAACGAAAGCTACACGATGGGCTGGCTATCTGAGCTGTTCCTATAGCGATTATCGAACACCCGATTTTTAGCCTTATAAGCCCTCAAGCTTACAGCTAAGCAACTGGGGAGGATCTGACTCAACCACTTTTAAAAATCTGTTTCTGTTCGTTTAGTATTCTTTAGTTTGTAATTAAAATACATATACCTATTGCTAATCACTCAAACCAAAACTTACAATATGAAATCACACCATATATGTGTTATAAGGAAAAAGACAACACCTGTTAGTTATTACTTACCAACTGTGGATACTTATTGCTTAAATACACTATAATTTAATTTGATGCCAAACTCTCAAATTCTGTGTACTAATTACTAGTCTGAACAACTCATAGTAGGTACTAATTACTTAGATAATCAATAATGATTAGAAAAAAATGTTATTAATTTCTTGGATAAATAACTAATTTTAACAAGTACTGGACACTGTTTATTTATGTAAATGATTAATTTTACACACGATGAGGGCTAAGATTTTAGATAAATGATTAATACTGACATATTCTATATTCTGTTTTTTAAATAACAGTTCGATATTAGCAAGACGTGGTTAGTAATTCCTGATGTAAAATTATAATTCTTGTACTTTTTTTAATAAACTTAAATCATTAATATAAATTTCATAATATACTTAAAAAATTATCTTTACATATCCTTCTTCTGAATACATATATATACAAGTATTGAAGCCCCTAGTGGCACAGCAGTATGTCTGAGGACTTATACCGCTAGAAACCAGGTTTCGATACCCGTGCTGGGCAGAGCACAGATAGCCCTTTGTGAAGCTTTTTGCTTAATTATAAACGATAATTGTATTGAAAATAATACTTGCGATTCGATGTTAACATTTATCTTTAAGTTGAATGAATATATACATTAAGATAGAGCTACAAATCAAGAAGTGCTAATTTTATAAGGGTCGCGCATGGCTTTGTGTTTAGCGTGACACTCTATGAAAGTCCGCGGTTTGCATCCAGTTGCTGCGAAATCGCGTTCCGAGTTTTGGGGCTGCAAGTATGTTATAAAAATTACGGTCAAATCCCACTATTCGATTAGGGCCGTCCAAGGCTTGGCAGTGGGTGCTGTTGTCCAACTATCTTCGCTGTAGTTTCTAAGTAAAAATTAGGAATGACTAAACGCAGATACCCCTTTTGTAGCTTTATGTGAATATTCGAAGCAAACCAACAAAAGTTGTTTTAAAGATATTTTTTCTAGCGTTCACTCATTTAGTTGTTTCTTAACGCCACATGTAAAATACATAGAACTTATTGCCAATTCAATGCATCAGTTTTACCTTGTACAGCTTTCAATTCAGTTTACATGTTAACATTTTTCTGCTGAGGTAGCCTTTCTTAAAGCTATTCTAAGTTCTTTAATAACACAGTTGAAGATAATTTATTATTTTTAATTGAAAAAGTTTTAGACAATACTTCTCTAAATGCTATAAAATTAATGAGAAGAATCAGGACAACACACTCCTTAAAAACTCAATAAACTTCTACACCCACCTACTAATAAATAAATAAAGTAACCTTCATGCAATCAATCAACCATATAACTTCTGGTGTACTGTACACGTAGACTTATGAAGGAAAGAAAACCTAATGCCGTAGGCAAAACCACTACCTTCCGCTCCCCTTTCAGTTGTCTATCTGCATACCTGTCTAACCCTCGTCATCTAAGGTACTTGGTGTAGCCTACGGCCACGATAGAAACGTGTCTTTACCTGGCTCCACCTGAGGGGTAAGGACCGGAACCTTGGGCTTGAGAACCTGCCGGACCAGTTCACAAGCTGAATGACGGGCTGCATTTGGGAAGCAGAGTCGATTTAGTCGAGTCTGGTGTGGTTGTCCTGCCACTTTCAGCAAAGATATCTAGGAGACAACCTGGCGCGTATTTTGTCAGTGATTAGACGAGAGTGAGCCTGTTTATAAGTTGGATAATAAGTGTAACAAAAACTAAAAAAAGGAATTAAGCTTCAATAACACATGGTGAAACATAAGTGACAGAATAACAACCGTTTGTCTGGCTAGCCATCCCCAAGAAACCAAAATGGCTGCTTCGTGTGGGAAGACTTGTTGGTATATTTTCATTGTTCTTTTCGCCATTTATGGTGTACCATCAGCTCAACAGGTAATTTTTAAATATTCATTAATGAAAATAAAGTGTGTACATCAAGTCCTAATTAATATTTCTCTGTTCTTCATCTCTATGAAACAGGTTTTTAAGTTATGAATATTCGGCAGAAGTATAAATTGAGAATCTTACGTGTTTTTATTCTATTTTAAATCTTAGACATATAAATATTACTTTACTGATTAAACCCAAATATTTTTCTTGTATGGAAAAGTTCGTTTGTCAACGATGGTGTTCCTCTCTTAAGCGCTACGGATCTTTGTTATTTCAATAAACCGAGCAAATTTTTGCCTTCCAGTAACATTTAAAAAAGTATTTTAGGGAAGTGATCCAAAATTTACTCTCTTAAAAAAAAATTCGGTGTTTTTATGACGATTAATCTGTTTGAACTTTGAGTTTTAGGTCTGTGTCACTAAGCCTTGAAAATTCAGTTACATTAGAATTTATACTAGTGAGGATTACTTCTCTAACTAACGGTTGCAACATGCACTGGGCCTATTCGTAATCGTGGATAATTTCTTGTTAATCAGCATTAACTAACGTATTTCTCATAAGCTTCGTTCGTTGTGAAGGATTTTAGTTCTTACGAATATAGTGCTCAAAATCCACGATTTCGCGGAAGATTTATCATCAGCGAATACATCCAACTCATAACTCTTTTGTTGTGGGAAACTTATCATTAACTAGTCTATTCTTCATTAACTTATTTATTTTTCATAATCTTCGTCCACTGTGAAAAAGTTATTATTTACAAGCATATTTTTCATAATTCACAGTCGCTACGGAGGATTTATCATTAACGAATAAATATATCTATCCCTTGAATACCTTCACTGACAACTCCCTCGGTTTGGAGCGCCCCCCGATGGGTCAGTGGTAAGTTTACGGAATTACAACGTTAAAATCCGGGATTAGATTCTCTGCGGTGAACACACAGCAGCTAGCCCAATGTGGCTTTGTTCCAAAAACATGAACCAACAAAATCGGTCTGGAGCACTTACTAATAACGAATATATCAATATACTCCATAATGTTGACGAACTTCTCCAAACTGAAACTTCTGTCTTTTTTCTGTTGACCCTTTAGTTCATATGACTGCAACACAACATGGGTTACTGTGGAAGATTCGTCGTGTTCGTTAGCTTTGTAGTTTAGAATGATATCTCCTCTATAACATAAAAAGTTGTAACATCTAATTGTTTTAATTCTACAGAATGGAATGCACTAAAGCAACAGTTGGTGTTAACTATATTTTCGGTCGTAATCCCAATAAAAGCTTAAGTAGTTAGTAAAGCAAATAATCTTCTTAAGTATAATTATATAGAACGTTATTAAAACCAGAGGCTTAACGAAGCTAAGTATAAAAAATACTTATCGTTTACTATTTACATCTAGACAGATTACTCATACTCGAAATATTAACATTACCTTCAGGGTTGTTGTATTTGAAATAAGGCACAAAAGTCACGAACTAATGGATGTTAAAATTTTACTAAAAATCGCTTATATCACTCTTATGCTACTGATTTCTCATACGTATTTCGAGACACTATTTAAATATCAAATTATTTGTTACTTTAAACGAGTATCTAGAAGTTTTGAAAAGTACAAACTCTCTAATACAAAAATAATTAAAATTCATGGTTTATTGATCTTATTCTTAAGTCCCAGACTTTTAAAATATCGGTTTAGAAACGATTTTACCTTTATTGACCAAAGGATCAAGCTGAAGAAACAAAGGTACAAGAAAAAAATACGGTTGTTCATAACATGTAACTCAAAACAGAGTGAAAAAAAAAATTCCTAAAGAAATTTTATGCTAATTTTTTATGGTCCCACTGCTTCACGAAGCATATTGGATTGCCCCTGTTCGTCCGTTCCGATCCTGTGGACAGACTATCTCAAAATTGGTTTGTTTGAAAGGAATACTATGATGTGTTTTAAATTTCGCGCAAAGCTACACGAGGGCTATCTGCGCTAGCCGTCCCTAATTTAGCAGAGGAAGGCTAGAGGGAAGGCAGATAGTCATCACCACCCACCGCCAACTCTTGGGCTACTCTTTTACCAACGAATAGTGGGATTGACCATCACATTATAACGCCCCCACGGCTGAACGGGCGAGCATGTTTGGTGGGACGGGGATTCGAATCCGCGGCCCTCAGATTGCTAGTCGAGCGCCCTAACCACCTGGCCATGCCGAGCCCTCAAGATTGGATTTATGGATTTTGACCATAGTTATAAGACAGGTACTGTATAAAAAAGTTCTAGACCTATTTACCTTTCGAAGGCCATAGGTCAATGGTTAAAGTCAATGAAATTGGAGGACTTAAACATGCAGTATAATCACAATGAATGTTTTTTGTGTGTGTGTTATTTAGTGTTTACTAAACACTGAACTGTTAGTATTTCTGATGTTATTTGTTTCGTTGAAATTTTCCTTTGAAGCTGAGAAAGATTAGTTAAATAGGTCAAGGAGACTAGTTAGTTTTAATTTGCATCAAATAAGGAATAACAGCATATTTTAATGAAGTTTAAAACAAGCACATAAGGGTTAAGAACATTATAGAAATTGTTTTGTTCTACTTAATGTTCTTCATTGTTTCGTTGTTACAGATTCTGATTATATTGTCTCATAGTTTACAGTACCTGTTTCGTTGTTCTGCGCTGTGCTACATTAATTACAATGTTGAACAACGAAACACATACTTTTAGATGTGAAACAATGTAGCATTACAATATTGAACAACGAAACACGTTCTGTAAGATGTGAAACAATGCACAAACCCAAACTGTAAAATGTAGAACAATGTAACCTGTGTTATGTTGTTTTTTACTGTTCGCGTTCTACATTGTAATGTTACATTGTTCTACATTTTACAGTTTGGGTTTGTGCATTGTTGTGTTATGTTGTTTTTTACTGTTCACGATCTACATTGTAATGTTACATTGTCTCACATGTTCCACATTGTTGTGTTATATTCTCATATGTTATACACAATACGTGTTTCGTTGTTCTATATTATAATTATAGTTATCTCACGTATTCCACATTGCTGTGTTATGTTGTCTTACGGTACGTGTTATACGTTGTTGTGTTGTAATATATATATATATCGATTATTCTACATCATAAAACTATATATCTCACATTTAACAGTACGCGTTTCGATGTTATACACTAACAAAACAGCACTTACTGTATGCAACTTGATGTTATTTAGTGTTACAGAAAAGAAAGTGAGTCCATTTGGGTTTTTAGATCTGTATTGTTATTCCCTTAATTTAACTTAATTAAAATTAGACGATTTTAAAATGGAGAAACATTTTAAAATCATCTAATTTTTTTGTGTTTTGAAACTAAGTTCATCTGTAGTGAATACCTTGATCAGTTTAAAATGCATTTAATTATTTCTAATTTTATCTTAAAAGTTAATCTTAATTAAAACCGTTACGTTTACCTACAAAATTAAACAGAGCCTTTAAAATATAAATTAAAAATTTATTTAGCTATATTTAAGAAAATTTTTAAATATATTAAAACCCTAATTATAAATTTACTTTTCTACACGATTTCTATACCTGAATGTATAGTATTGCAAAAATGTTTTTATATATCTAACTATGGTAAACAAATAAAGAAAATAATAATTTGATACATCTGTAAATTGTCATGGACAAACACAATAACACAGTACCAATTTTCAGTAACATCTCATAAACATTGATAAAAATTAACATTATAGTCTGTTTGTAATTAAGCACAAAGCTACAAAATGGGCTATCTGTGCTCTGCCCACCACGGGTATCGGAACCTGGATTCTATCGTTATAAGTCCGCAGACATACCGCTGTGCCACTAGGGGTCGATATTATAGTCTGAAGATTATGGCTGTCAAAATTCGAAAGTTAGTTGTATGTAATGTAAACAAAAAATTATTGGATATGTAAATCCCTTAACATTTAACATACGAAGGAGAAATTAATAGTATTACAAGCCTTATTCTATCATTTTACAACTTTATAAAGCTTGTTTTTACTTCTTTTAGGACTTGTTTTTTGTATTAATTGACGATAAAGACATAACAGTTAGTAAACTATTGAACTTTTATTTCATTTTCAGGACAACTCTGTTCTTCAGTGTCCAAAAGGTACGTTATTATTCGTTTCGTTTTATATTTTATGCTCCTACTTTCAGACTTTTGATAATTAGAAATACAAAGAAAAACAACAGTATACGCTACACAAGTAAGAAACATAATTATTAGGGCACAGTTTAGAAGTAAAAACATAATTATTAGGGCACAGTTTAGAAGTAAAAACATAATTATTAGTATAGTTATACGAGATCAAAATATAAAAAAAGAAGATGTAGCGTTGTATTTACACCCCTCAGTTGACTAATAGTTAAACTGGCTTGGACACTTAGTTAACAAATGGGATCAAAATATTAAGTAAACTGAACAGTTCAAGAATAGTGGCTGATGTCTTAAGTTTTCATTAACTTTGTGTTACAAGAGGAATTAATGCTGTATCAGATAGTCACAAAACTTTAGTGTTCTCTTTTAACCAGACTTTTTGTTTTAATAATCAACACTTTATTTTTAGCTTTGTTAAGTTTATTCTATTAAATAAACACCTCTAAAACAGCATGTACTAACACAAGATTCGACACCAAGACTCATCGTGCAAAAGTTTTTTTAAATAGTGTTAGTCGCCTGTTTTTTCCTCATATTTTTTTATACATTTCCAACTAATGTTTTCAACTTTACCCCAAGGATACCCATGTTTCGAAATATATTGTATGTAAGGCCACTGTATACTGGTTACCTCAGCTCGTGAGATTGGTATTCGCCCGCTGGGTTTGAGGCGAGTTTTGTTCTTCCTATTTCGTAACCGCGACATTTTGCGATGTATCATTAACTCCAGCTTCACGCTTTATTTAGTATTGCAAAGACCTTAAACTCGTATATGTTTTTGTAGTTGTTCGTCTTTTCAAAACCAACGCGAACGTGTCCAATTTTCTTACAAAGTGACTTTGACTTAAATATTTTATGTTTTTTATTTAGATAAAGCGATTTTTAAACGGAAGTCCTAACTAACTAGACACTACATTACCTTGGAAACAAACAGTATACAGTTTTTCTGTTATTTCGCTATTATTATTTAATTGTATTGTATTGTATTGATTCTTCTGATCACTTTAATTTTTAAACCTAAGACTGTTTTATTTTGTGGAGATTCAATTTAATTTATAATTTAAAAAATTGCACACGGAAATAGCTTTTATTTATTAAAAGTAATGACCATGTTCTAAATATTTCCGTCACATAGGAAAAAGCATATCAAATATAGGTATCTTGACTCAACGATAAGCTTGAGGACTTATAACGCTAAAATTCTGGATCTAGTCCTGCGTTGGTCACAGCGCAGATAGCCCAGTGTGCAGTTTGCGCTTAAACAAACACATACAATAAAAAAAAATACAATCTGTAAGATACATATTAAATCATGCGTGAGATAGTCTCAATTCTCATTGCACATTCTCTTTCTCCAAAATCAAAAACTTACAGTTTTAACTAGTCACATGTCTGACTGAACAGTGAGATAATAGATAATAATGTTAAGTCTATTGACTTTCTCCATAAAGGCCGGAATCGGGGGGGTGGGGTGGGGGGATGCCCAAATAATTAAATTGGAGGACCCGAATACTATATATTGTGTATACTGGTTATTATCTGAAACAATGTTATTATTTGTGTGGCTTACGACACAGCATACATTTCATTTTGTATTTACAATTCAGTACTTGTTATTGTGTGTAATTGTTGAATGATATTTTAAAGCGTTTTTCTTGACTGTCGATCAATTGCTTCTCAATGTTTTGTACGTTCCAATATTCCTTTTCTCACAGTGAGAACCGATATGACGATTTTCGAAGGAAACTGCAGACTTTCGCGCCAAAATATTTTACACCTAGTGCAGTTTCTTTCATTTTTTCATTCGCCTCAACAATTATTTGTTTGTTTTTTTTCTATTCAATCAAATTTTTTCTAACAAATAGAAATTCATTATTTATGTTATGTTTACGGTGGGTCAAGGGCCAAAGCCTAAATAATTCTGGTTTACAACTCTAGTCAAATGAGATATTAAGAAAACGGCCACATTCTTGGGGAAAAAGAATGACTTGTGGACATCACAGGAACATCCTAGTAAAATGTCGTAATTAACTTGTGTGAGCTACATTCTACTGACAGTAAGTTAGCTTTATCAGAACGATATTACAAATTATGTAGTGCTCTTGGAAATACTTCTTCCATAGTCGATCTTCCCATTCCTGTGATAACGATAATACATTATTTCCATTGTAACAACCTTTGCAAAGAAAGGCGAAGTTAGTCTTAGACGAAATAAGTTGACAAACGTTCCTCGGGTTCCCTACTCCACTACATGTAGAAGCCTATTTCTAAGACCAGTGGAAGTATCCTGGAGGACTTGACGGGCTGTAATTGAATGGGATTACTGTAATTTAAGTTTCATGAAACAAACCGCTTATTTCGAGGTGTTTTTGGAGGTTATGAGCCTTTGCTAACTTCAAATATTTGTTTGTGATTTTGTTAACGGTACGAGGAGATATGTCCAGCTTCATTGTAAATTAGAGGTCATTTTAACTTTGTGAATGAGGGCGTTTCTCCAAGTTGGCTTAATGTGTGATTGGTGCCCAAAACTGCTCTACTGTGTGGAGTTTTACACTTCTATAGGAACACTGACGATTTCCTTCTTGGAAATGTTGTCTCTATATTTTAATAATTCCCGATCTATAAATATCTTTCCTCGGAGAAGGTCTGTGACATGTTTCTTCAATCACAGTTTGCTCGTTGCGGCTTTTGGCTGTCGAATGGTCGGGAGTTTTCTGTGAACCAATATACAGGTGCTAACACATATCGTCATTGACGCCACAGCTATCACGTGAAGCAATACGTGATGCAAATTAACCTTATAAGATGCAATTAATCCTCTGTATTGGAATTCCTTGCAACTCCCTGTCATCTACTTCAAATGTTTCGTTTCCACTTTGAATACGTTCTACTGAACACTCTGTAACTTTTTCTATTCACAGTTACTCCAAATATTTGTCAAGTTCGCTTTCAGTTTGATTATATTCTATTGGGCACTGCAACTTCCTTTGCCGTGTAAGATATAATATCAAGCTTACACTTTTCTTGCTGTATCTGACAAGCTTTAGTAATTATATATATAGTATCTTAGCGTTTCTAAGACCCCCTTTAAAATTTCATCAGTTTGCTGTTACATAATAAACATTTGTGGGTTTTAAAACGAGTTTTCTTTTACCACACAAGGACAGATAGTTAAATCTGTTTTGAACTAAAAAGGCCGAAATTTTCTAATGTTAACATATAACTTCCGGTATGAAAAATATACGTAACATATGGCGAGTCTTACTTGGTTTTATTTCGTTATCTGATTGCACTATAGTAAACAAAATAAATACGTTATCTCTATCTTAGGTACAACGACGTTGGAAAGCCTTGTAGTTATATTTGTTCTTTTATTCATCGTTGTTGAACACTGACGATAAAAACCAAATATTACTGTGTAGCAAAGTAGCTTTGAAGGAAGAACAGCTTAAATTCGAATCAAATATAAAATATAACGAAACTATTTTGTTGAAAAAATAGCTTGTTCATAAACCAAATAGTTCAGTGTAGTAAAGTTGTGTTCAAGGAACAACAGCCTATATATAATCCATATATTGCTGTGAGATAAAGTGGTTTTCAGAAAAATAAAAACGAAAAACATTTAACTTGCCCATGTATTAGAATCTATAAAGTTATTTTGAAGAAAGGATATTGTAACTAAGCCTTTACATAATTAATATATAGCAATACAGCAACGCTAGTTTGATGAAACAATGTATTGTATTTAGTTCTTTCGAAAGAGATCAGTCTTTATATAGACCATATCCTACAGTTTATTAAAGAAATAATATATTCACCATACTACAGTGAAGCTAAGCTGTTCTGAAAGAAGAATAAGCTAAACATAAAACAAATTGTACAGTTATACTTTCGATGAAGAATAGTCTAAGTAGTTTTTTGTTGTTAAAATAGCTGTTATATAAACAAAGTAACTCGGTATAACTAATTTCTTATGATAGAATAATAGCCTATACACACCCTATTTACAACAGTTCAGCAAAGTAGTTGAGAAGGAATCAGGCTATGCACAAAGACTACCAATAAGCAAATAGACACCTATTTTAGAAAGAATGCTGCTTCATTTAATAACTAACAATGAAAGAAAAAGGTTCAGTATTACTATTAGTATTTTGTGAATCTGCCATTTGCAATATTTTAAGGTAAAAGCTAGGGTTATACATCGTATTTACAAAATCTGAAATCTTGGCCAGTAGGATTGCACCCCAGTCCTCACGAATAACTTGAATAAGGGTGTCCCTAGAATCTGATGGGTCAAGCATGATCGATAATGTTCATATCTGCGATAAGCCAGGCCACAGGAAAATGATAATCTCATGATCTTCAATCCGTCATTTAGTGACTTGGACTGAATGGGGAGGAATTCCATCTTTCATGTAAACACTGCCATTTCTGGTAAGCTTATTATTAATGTAGAGGGCCTTGCTCGAGGGTTGCGATATATCGAGAATCAGTGACAATCCCTTCGCATACCATCAGCTGTGATTGTCTAGCTGCCAAATGGCGCCCATACCATAACATAAATACCACTGTATTTTGTAATGGCTTTAATAAGACAGTTCAAGAAAAGTTACTGGGACAATAGTCACTAAACGCAGTGCGCCAATTATCAGATAATTTTGCAGATTTGGACTCATCAGAGAAAAATTAGTGACCCAAAAGGCGGGAGAATGTGATATTATCTGTGATGCCTACTGCTGACAATATTGCCTGGAGTGAGGAGTAGCCTCCGTCTAGATACTCCACCATTATAACCAATGCCATGAAGATAACTTCTGCTGATTTGGGGCATACTTGAGTCTGTCCTGCAACAGTAGCGGTGGTCAGTGGGTCATTCTCAACACCACTCCTCACAGCAGGAAGAGTTCGTGCTGTTAATGTCTGATGTGGATAGAACTGTTCTGTTATTTTCA